ATTAAAAATCATATTTTGAGTGATCGGCGTGTTTTATTAAAGGATGAGACTGACTAAAAATACTTTAGACAACTAAAATGTAAAGGCTTAATACAAAAATAAGAGACTGAACTAAACTCAAAGTTGACTTTTGGTGGACTAAAGAATTTTTTATTAAAAATAAATGTCTAATGTTTTATAGATTACACTTTTAGGCGCCTAATTTTTTGTTAACAGCTTGTACCTAAAAGTTTGAGTGAAAAATTATGCACTTATTTTAAATCTTTAGGCAATTGAGTACGGTTTAGTAACTTATTTTTATATTAAGCCAAATAAAATATGTATAATCGATAAATGAAGCAATGTGCTTCTTTATTGTTCACAAGTAAATGAACTTACTCATTTGAAGTCTCAGTTACAGCCTGCTTCTTAACCTTATTCTGTAAACAACAAATGAAAAACCGAGTATAAAGCCGAGTCCAAAGAAAATTAGAAGGAAAAAAATACAAAATGCAGGCTCTTTTTTGCCATATGTTGCTTGCTAACCTTTGACTGATATCTCTGCGGCCATCGTTCTCGGGCTTTATCAGCGGCAATGGGCGGACCGACGAGACAAAGGTCGGAATCGGCTACAACTTTTCGGGCTTTTTTCGATTTGGTAGGGTCCAACAAAGTAGTCACACCTTGGTCTCGGGTTTCGGGTTCCGAATCGACAGATTCATCGGACTTATTTTGACGCTTTCGTTCAGAACCCTTCCCCATTTCCGAAACAGTCCCCGATACTAGACAGAGAGAGACACAAAACAGAGAGAGGTGAAGGATTCTCTCTCTGTTTTGCTGTTTGGATAGAGAGAAAATATGGAATATAGACGTTTGAAACTTGCGAGTTGCCAGTGTGGGAGCAATAAGTAGGGAGAACACTTTTTAAAAGGAAGTTTGTTTTTTTAGGGAAAGTTTGATTTTTTATTTTAACTTTTAGACTCGGGCGGGAACCGGCAAATTTTGGTTCCAACCCATTATTTTAGTCCTGATATTTTGGGAGATTTCGTTTTAACGACACGACTTTTCTTTAGGAGGGTCACGGACCAACTGTCATTTGACACTTCGTACATCAGGGAAAATTTAAGGATAAATAGCGGAATGGTCACTTATCTTTTATATTTGTACATGTTACTCATTCATAAAAGTTAAGTTTTAATTATTTGCGTTATTGTTTTATGAAGTCTTTTTTGATTGAGACGTTGAATATTGTTAGTTTGATAATAAAATTGTTAGTAAAAGGGTTTAATTTTATTTTAACCCTAAAAATTAGATATATTCATTGTATGTCTTTTATAAATCTAAAGTAATTCATGGACAAATTTGAATCGTAAATTTGATTGAGTTTGTTCAACTAAACGATCTAAAAGTAAAACAAAATCTTTTATTTAAGAGTGTGTTATAATATAATTTATATTAAACGATCCTTAAATTTTTAAATATTTAAAGTATATCTTTAAACTATGACTATTTTTTAATTACTTACTTTGAGTTTTTTAAATATGTAGTAAATACAAGTTAGTATTATTTAGTGACTTTCAATCATTTTATAATGAACGTTCATATTCATACATAAATCATACTCGTACTCGAAATTTCAAGGATAATAACAAATATATTAATCACTTAATTCGTGCTACTTAATTTACGTTTGAATGATAAATTTTGAAGAGTTTTTTATATTTTTAAATTCCGATATTAAATTATTTATTCGAACGAAAATAAAAAAATTAATTACTTAAAGTAATGTATTTGTATGGAACACGAGCCACAAAAGCAATAAGAAAAATAGATACAAGAACAAGGAGAGAAATTTGTATTATTAACTCAATATAATTTGTGCATAATATTTTATTTAAATTCTGTATTTACAGGTATAAATAATAGGTATCATATAGAATTTTAATCCTAATAAATATAAAATCCTAATAATAAAGTACATCAAAGTAGTAAACAACTTGATATCGTTAAGTAAAATCTCATGTTCGAGTCTTTATACATGCAAAAAATCTCCGTTGGGAGGTCAATCCATAATAGTTAGGGCAAAGCCTTTGAACGAGTGGACAACAAAAAAATACATTAAAGTCATATATTTAATGTACATTATTCTAAGTTTAAGTATACAAAATGTGTTAAATTATGCCCGTTTTTTTAATTAGTATCTAACATTTTTTCGTTTTAATTTATGTCTAAAATTTCATTCCGTTACTAAAACATGTTAAGTTTAACAATTAACCCATTAAAGATATACTTGACATTTTAATATTAAAATTATTTATAAAAATAAAAAAAAAATTAAAATAAAAACTAAACCTAATAAGTCTTTCACTCTCTCCCATCTCCCTTTTTTGAAATTGAATTCAAGAACCCTAAAGTCGGTGTCGTCTTCAGCAGAGGTTTTGGTGCTTATTTTATAATTAAAAAAGAAAATAACTGTTCCAAAATACATATAACGAAACTTGTTTCAGTTCTTTGGCTCCATTAAAGAATGTTTGAGGTTTTGTTCAGAAAAAAACGCATGCTTTTTTCTTGGTTTAGTTTTGGATTGATTCACTGAATCGGCATCGCAACTCATTGATGATTTGATAATGCGTTTTAACTCATAGTTTAAGAGTTCTGTCCTTTGTTCAGATTACTGGTGTAACTTTGATTGCATTTTGGTAGAATGGATGGACTCAGAATCTGCCGATTCCTCCTCTCAACCTCAAACTAAAGCTTCTGATGTTGAAACCTCTGCTGAAGACGACACCGATGTTAAACGGCCGGCTATACTAATGATACGGGAAGTCATTCAATGGCCAACAACGAGGAACCTACTGTCAAAGCTTTGATATTGAACCCCTAAAGGCTGGTGAACTGATTTAGGGTTATTGAATTCAATTTCAGGGAAAAGGTAGAGAAGAGAAAGAGAGGGAAACACTAAATCAGATTTTGTTTTTCATTTTAATTGTTTTCTTATTTTCAAAAATCATTTTTAATATTAGAAATATGTTATGTGACGTTTTTAATGGGTTAACATAAATTTAACGGTTCGTCACGACTTAACCCATTTGATAACGGAATGAACATTAGCATCAAATTAAAACGAAATAAACGTTATGCACAAAACTAAAAAACAGGCATAGTTGGACACATTTTATAAAATTAACCCTTATTCTAATTATAATTGACATACACATAAAATACATGCAAAAATATATTACTAAAAAAATATTACATATATCTTTAACACACATAATATGTTATATTATTTAAAATTTTACTGAAATATTCACTAAGACAAAAACATGTGTAAAAAAAAACACATACATATATTCCACCTTCATGAAAACATCACATAAGAACTTTGAATCTTTACAATTCAATATTGAATATAATCTTCAAATTTTGAAATATAATGTACAGTTGAAAAATATTCTAAATTATTACTTTAATAGATTCATTGAATATTTATATTATTTTTTAAGATCACGAGAGAAAACTTTAGGAAAATATGTTTTATATTTGATGTGTTATATTTCAATTGAATGGAACATTTTACAATAATTTCGTACATGATAGTTGACATCTTATAATGTATAAGCAAATCACATATTATGAATGTGTTCAGTTAATAGTCTTAGCCAAACACATTTTCAATTGTCTCGTGTAAGTATACATGAAATTTGTTAACAACATGGATAAATAAAGGGGATGGACGGGACAATCTTTCCTCCTAAAATTTTAAATTTATAATTCATATATTGTCTTCTATAGTATAAATTTGTATAACTTGCCTTCCTTTGTTAAAACAATATGGTTATGATTATTTTTGCATAAACTATTAGAAATATTAAAATAACCTTACTTTCATAAAATATAAAATTTAATTATTAATGATATGATATATCACATTATATATATTAAAATATCATATTATAAAATGAACTGAAAATAATTCTGAAATTCAAAAATTAATATATAAAAAGTAGAGATTAAATCATAAGAAGGAGAATGATGTTTTCATGCTGTATGATTTTGCCCATCGCGTGGGGTATTATACATTCGTCACTAAAAGGACAAATCACGTCAGGAAACTGAAACGATCAATCTGACCGTCGGATTTTTGCCCCATTTTATCCTCATCGGCATGGAAGTCCATTTGAAACCGTCGCTGATTCTTAGTTAGGTTTTATTCGCTTCTTCTACTTTTAGCGGCGCTGCGATTCCATGATCGTCACGGTTATCAGCTGAATTCGACTATAACTCTTTCACTTCGAGAATTGAGTCCAAAAAGATAGCTCTGACACCCCTCCTCGATTTTACTCGCATCTCGCAAGACATAGGTAGCTCTCTCTCGTCCTCTCTCTCTTTCATTTCATTGTACAATTAGAGCATAGTTTAGATCGGCTGAATTACTTAGTCTATTGAAAGTTGAAGCTCTTAAGATAAGCAATTAGCTAGAAAATACTGCTTTCTAGAGATTTGGGGATTTTTGGTTCGTTGCCTTCAAGGTTTTACTAGTTTATTCACTTCCTTGATCAAATTTGCTTCTGTTTGTTTTTTTTAACTATTATATTACTGATCTTGTTGTTATTTTCACAGTGTACGGTTATGAGCAATAATTTAAAGCAATCTGTTTTCTGTTCCAGTCTCTGCAGCTCTTAAGCAGTTGAAAGAGAATGAGAACCAAGCGAAAACGAGCATGCAGGAAGCTCCCTGCCCGAAAACCAGCTGCATTGGCCAAAAATGAAAAAGCAGTGAACCAAGTTGAAAAAACAGCGAACCAAAGCGAGGAAGTATTTTTAAATTTTATTAACCATAATAGGCAAGAGGAGGCTGTGTCTGCAGATTCGAATGATTTGGAAGTAGTTAACTTAGACCCTGCTGGGGCCAAGAGTAATTCATCTTCATCGTCCTCTTCAAGTGACAGTGACAAGTCATTTGGTGCTGAAGAAAGTAGCTCTGACGACTCATCAGTTGAAAGGAGATCAAGGAATTCAATAAAGGACATGGTAATGCAAAGCAGAAAGCAAGTAAATTACTGAAGAAAGGAAGGAAAGATGGTGATAAGCTGCCCAGGGTTTTGCGTTCTTCCAGTAAAAAGCAGGATGAATCTACGTTGCCTCAGCAGGACTCTCGCTACAATATGAAAGAACTGAAAGCTTCATTGGAGGTATGCTGAGATCCTTATAACTGCTAATTTTTAGTCATTGCTTGATTAACACTTACAATGCTTGAGAAAGAAAGAAGAGGTACTTCCAAATTGCTAGTTTGCCATTTTTCTAAACTTATCAGGTGATTAAGAAAATAATGAAGATGGATGAGGCTCAACCATTTAATGTTCCCGCCGATCCTGTTGCTTCGAGAAAACCTGTAAGTGTATTGCCACTTTTCTAAATTTGTGAATTGTGTATTTGTGTTGCCAATTTATCTTCATCAACTGCATGCTTCGGGTTGAATCTATTCTAGTTATATTGATTTATCTCGCTAACTCTCTCTCTCCTCCCCCCTCCTTCCTCCCTTTTGGGTTGTGGTTTACTGGAAACAGGATTACTTTAGTGTGATAGATACCCCAATGGATTTTGGTACAATATGTTGTAATTTAGAAAATAGCACAAAGTACATGAATGCAGAAGACGTTTTAATGACGTGCAATACATTTGGGGAACTGCTGCAAGTCCAATAAGAAGGGAGAGTACATAGTTTATCTAATGAAACGAGTGAAGAAAAAATTCATGAAGTACTGGATAGCCGCTGGCTTGAGCATTGAACAATCAAGAAAGATTAATGGTACGTGTTCAGAGTTACTACTTATTGCTTACTTTCAGGTTATTTCTCCAAAATTTATACCAACTACTTTGCCATTTTTTGAATTTTTACCTGAAGAAGTAACTGGTGCAGCCAAATACAAGTGATTACAAATTCCACCATATGTATAGATAGTAGGTTTTGGGGTTTACTGATATCTAGAAAGTTTCGACTTCTTTTTGAATTGGAACTCAATATCAGGAGATGCCTTTTTGTTCACATTACATCATGACATTAAACTTCTCTTTAATGAATGTATGAAATGATAGCAGTCTAGCGGTAAACCTAATGTAGGGTACTTACTTAATTGGTAGGTTAATGTTGAGAAATGGAAGTTTATATACATGTGCAATGATGATCTATCTAATGTCAATGCCCTTGTTCTTGGATTATGAAATCTCAATTATAGGGAAATTATGAGAATTTTGTTTTGGTATTTAAGCATTTACCTTGTAATTTTCATTCACTTGGTGGGAACTTCATACAAACCATCTACAACAGACTATGCTCCGAAAAATAGTGCACATGAGCCTTTCCATCCAGTGGGTGGTGCGGTAGATGGTGCCAGCCATAGTCAGTTGGGTTTTAATCATCATTATCTTTTCTTCCTCCATCAGGCTATAGCCAACCTCATCAGTTGCCGCAACCTGCACCAAGCACTACACGGACACAGTTGCCTCCGGGGAGTTATCAGCTACCTCAGCTGTCACACCATCCGCAACCAAGCACTAGTCAGCCACAATTCTCCCAGTTACAAGCTCGCACAGGCAATATGTTCATTTCTGTCTATTTTTCTTGGATGGGTGCTATAACGTTTTAGAATATATCTTTCCTTTTTGCCTGTTCAAAGCTCGTACTAATTTGATTTCAACTTCAAAACATGCCATTGAGAAGGGATTATGTTGTCGTTTTGGTTTCGCACCAATGGGTAGCGTAATATTTAATGAAATCATTAACATTTTTTTTGATGTTATACATGTAAATGACCATATTTTTCACAAGTTTACTGGTTCTGCTAGAATAACACTACCTCAAAAAAAAAAGATTCTAAATCTTGTTGATCTTACTCTATCTGCCACAGGTATGTGATGACACCAGTTAGCTATTTTCATTTCTATCTCACTCCATTAATGATTTTGTAGGATATTCGCATTATCATTAACTACCTAAAGACATGGTCCCTAAACACAAAAATCATGCATCTTCGTCAAAATAGAAAAGAATGCATCTAAGGCTACTGCAGTATTTGATGCACAACAGATTGTTACCCACAAGCAGCCATATGATCTGCAGCAGCAGCATAGCATCAGTCAATTAAATGCTGTTGCACTGCCCTTTTAACTTGTAATCAGGGCATTATATTCTTAAATGGTTCTTTATTTCCGTACTCAAGAATCCGTTATTACAGCAGATTCTGAGTTTGGAAGCATGCATTTTTTCTGCATGTCTGAGATTAGTTTCGTCATCAATTTGCCCATGCACTTGATTTTCATCTATCTGGCTGCATTCTGTCACAACTACAGCTACCATGTAGTTGTTTTCATTTCTCTTTATGTCCTTTTTTTCCTTCTGCTGTAGGATATTCAAATTTTCAGCCTCCTGGAGATGTAGCCCCAAAACACAAAAACCATGCATCTAAGAAACAAAAAAAGAACTCAGCTATGGGTCCTGCAGCCTCCATTCTCAGTGAGCCACCAGACCAGTTACAACAGCATCATTTGAGCTACTGGCCGCCATATGAACAGAGCATCAACCAGCTACAATTCTCTCAATTGCAGGCTGCCGTAGATGGTGGTGCGTAAAGGAGTTCAGATTCCCAATGATCTTTATACTGTCTTTTATTTCGTAATCAGGACATTATATTCGTAGTGATTACTTATTTTGTTTATTGTTATAACCCATCATTATAGGTTCTGAGTTTAGATGCGTGCTTAGTATCTTCATGAATTTGTCTATATACTCGAAAGTAATTTTTCTCCAAAGGATCTGCATAACATGTTACAGACAATAAAATTATAAAAAATGGATTTAGAGGGATCTCAAGATTTTTTCTTCACATATATCTGACTTTATATTTTTCTGCCCTAGGACACTCACACTTGCTGCCTCAAGCAGATTATACAAGGTCCCGTGGCTATGTTCCCTGTTATCCAGTGGATCCCATGGTTCTCCCTGGCCGATCACATCCCCTGCAGTCCCCATTGAGCCATGGGGAATCTAGTGAGCCACAGCAACGGAAACCGAAGGCAACCCATTGCCAGCCTCAGTCGTCCCAGCTGCAAGATAATGTCGATTTTGGTACCGTCTGAACGCTGCTTCTGTGTCAATCTAGTAACTATCTGCTTACCCTTGTGCTTATATAAATTGTATGGATGGTCTTATCTTCTATGCTATTTGATAATTTAACCATCCGCACCAGCAGGAAAGCAGTAATGAACATAAATAAAAGCTAAACATGATTATCTGGAATAACCTTTAGTTGCTTGTAAAATTGCATCAGCTATGAGTTATTTTGCTTAGGTGTTGTGAAAGTTTGTAGATTTCTTTTATTTGAAAATGATTGATACTTTCAATCTTGATGCAGCTTAATATTAGTGTTTCTTTTCCGGTGGCACATATGGTTTTCTTTCCCCTTCTTGCAGAGCATTCTCACATGTCTCTTACAGATTCTACCGTGAGGGGTATTCGATGTGCACTTAAGTATTCTGCTGGCCCCACAACCAATAAATCTAACCGAGTAAATCAGAAGCAGTTGGGCCATGCCAAATCCCAGCCCGAGCAGACCCCACAGAGCTTGGAACAGCAACCGTTCACAAAAAAGAGGAAAGGAAGAGGTCCTACACGCTGCCGCTTCTTGGACGACCTGGCAGAAGGTGAGCAGATATTTGTCCAGATCAACAAGCTTGGACAGCCTGTTGGTCCAAATGCATACAAGCTAAGCTGCTTCCTGGGCACTATAGCACGGAATGGACACAGAGCACCCCTTACTTTTGTTCACTGGAGGGCAATGCCAGATTCTTATAAAGTGGACATGTGGGACTATGTTCAGGCATGATAAAACATTTGCTCTGTCCTTCTGTGTCATATTACTTCCTTTTTCATTGACATTTTGCCTCTTCCATTTGCTAATAGACAAAGTTTGACATTGATCCAAGTGGCAAGTCTTGGGTCATGCAGGCTATTGGTACAAAATGGAGGGACTGGAAAGCTGATTTAAAGGCAACGTATTACTATTCTCTTAAGACGGATGAAGAGCGCTTGAAGGTATGTGATCCAAGGGTTGTCCCTGAGCAATGGTCAAGTCTTATTTCATACTGGAACACTGATGAGGCAAAGGTACATGCTGAAAAGTGATTGTCAACCCCAAATACCTGCAAATTTTTTGGTAATTAATGTTTATAATTGCCCTTTGTAGAAGCGTTGTGCAAGAAATAAGGCTATCCGTAAAAAACAGACGTGTGGACATTCATCAGGGACCAAGAGTTATGCAAGGATATGTGAGGAGGAGGTGATTTCTCATTTTCTGTAGTTACATGCATGTTTCATATTTTGCTTTGGCCATATTTGAAAGAAGCTGTTGCTTTTGTTGTTGAAATAGCGAAACAAGAGGCCTGATGGGAAGGAACCAACTAGAGCTGAGCTTTATATACTAACACATACACGCAAGGATGGACAGCCTGTTGATGAGACTGCGTCAAAATTAATTGTATGTACAAATAACTCAACTGTACTTTTGCTAGTTGCAGATTTATGTGTAAATCTTATGCATCCGACCTTGATAAATTTTGCAAGTTGAACAGTTGTGTTTTCTTTGCAGTCAAAGATCCGCGAACAAGAAGCTAAGAAGCAGAATAACTCACGATGTAGTGATGAGTCAAATGACACCTTGTGTCAAGTTATGGGAGAAGAAAAAGGCGACTGCATGGAAACTTCTGGAATGGGTCCCAATCGTACTGGTATTTTTGGCTCAAGGCCTAGCCGTGCTGCCCTTGTGAGGATGGCTTCCGAGGCCAAAAGTTCCGCAAATAAGGAGGTGCGTAAGATGACAGTGAAAATGGAGGCCATGGAGGAAAAATATACCCTTATGGAAAACCACATGGCTAGAATGGCTTCAAACATGGAAAAGTTTCTACAGAAGATTGACGCGTCTTCAAATGTTTTGGGGTCTGAACAGGTAACTCTTATACCAGTATTTAATGGTAGTTATTTTTTGTCTTATGCCATACTATTGTGCTGTTTGCATAACAGTTATATGATACTCCTAAATGTCCCGAGTACACAATGAAGCTACAACCTACAATAATATTTAGCAGGGACAATATTTTTACTGGACATGTTAACTAATTAGCTTGTCTCGGAAATGTACCAAGAGCCAATAAAAACACAATGCTGTGACCAAATGGGTTTGCAAAATAAGGAGCTTTTAAGCGTATAGGGTAAACCAATATATTATGAAAAGTGCCTTAGTTGATTGTAGGATCTCAGTTGTGAAAACAAAATGATCTCAAAATATAATATTTTAGGAAATAGCATGTCATGAATTTGTAGTTTGGTTGCAAATATGTGCAATATTATTAAGCATATTTCAGGAATTTACACTACATGACATTGAAGAAATGTTTTCTCATGAGATTCTACACCTTTGATCATGCCTTCCATCAGGACGAACGCATGGCTTTATGCCATCCAAAGGTGCGAACTTTTAATAAGTTATATTAGAAATTTAGGGTGTGTCAAATTAGATCTTCGATAATAAATACAAAGAAAATACTTAAACTATATGGGAAATTGAAATTTCCAGAGGGGGTGTGATTGTCCCCCTCGAGATCCCTGCCTTCCATGTATGCTATTCGTCTCGATTACGTTAACTTGTCAATGGCACAAGGAAAACAATACTTCCTTTGTTCATTGTGCATTTGCCTTTCGGAAACTAGTTTTGCCAATGTCTTCTACGGAAGCTGCTCTCAACCTGGCGTTGGGGGACAGCCTACTACCCTACCTCCCTCTTATCCCATTACATATGGGAATAGGGTTTTGTTGTTGTTGTTGTTGTTGAAACCAGTTTTGCCAATAACTTGGTTTTGTTTTCTTTTTCTAGCATTTCCACGAGGAGGAAGACCCAGAAGAAGATGATACTTGATGGACTTTACCCACCGTTTTCGCCCTAGGTGGCGTTATGTTGATTCAATTTGGTAGTGTTTTAATGTTGAACTTCTGAAACATGAACCATTGAAGGAATGAAGTTGCTAAGTGAAACGTTCTATTTTATATGTATGTATAGGAAGCTATTAAGCTAAATGGCCGTGGGTGGATCGCCACCACCGGACGACTAGTTGAATCGTTTCTCTCCAGTATTTATTTTTTCCCCTGATGAGTTTATGCTTCCGGTAAGATAACGACAATGCATGCAATTATTTAATCGGTTTAGGCTTTCAAGTTGACATGGTTTCAGAGCTAAGCTTCTACATGTGTGTGTACAAGTATGTTCAGTATATAATCACTATTTTCAGATGATACGATTCATGTGGATTTGTAGAACTTTAGATATCCCCCGACGTTATCATTTGATGTAATTAATACCTATTTATTCCAGGAAATTCTCCTTGTAGCCCCTCAGACCCGGTCTGTAAGTTAGACCCAAACTTAAGTGGTCACATATCACATTCAGAGGTTTTTTTTTATATCTTACAATACATTATATTAATACAAACCAAAATATTAATAATACAAATATATCCAAAACGATAGCAAATACATGTCACCAGATACAACGGAAAACATGTAGAGATATATGTTCGTACAAAATAAGTAGTTGATATCTCCGGATGCCAAATATACTAGCTTACGGTTTTCTGTTATCTGAAAGAGAATGAGCTAAAAAGCTCAGTGTACTCCATACAGTGTATAAAAACATATTAACAAAATATTTTAATAAAATTTGTTTATGCAATATGTTTTGAAAACATGAACACTACCCCATCCTATCACAATCTGTTTGTGTAGGTTCCCCAGAACCATACACCCCGCACAACCAGTAAAGCCTTGAGCACACAGCCGAGGAGCTTGCAGATAATCTTCCTCCAATAATTTTCCCCCCAATGATAATAATGAACATGAATTTATGCGCGTAAAACAATGAATAATTCTTTAAAAACCATAAGAATGTTTCAAGCTTGAAAACCATAAACAGAAATACATAAATCAAAAATCAAATCAGTAATGTATGGTAATTTAGATGTTGGGTAATCAGTATTCAGAAAACGGTATAAAATACCGTAACCATAAATCATATCAGAAATATATAGTAAATCAGAAATCAGATACACAGTATTCAGATATTTATATACTTTAAAACAATAATATAACACTATCAAGAAACACACCTGTAACAGTCTGAGAAATCAGATAGGGAAGCCTATCACTGGGTTTGTCGATCACGCTCTGCTGCAACGCTAGATCCTACGAATTGGAAAAATCCATATTGGAATCCTAATATAAATAATCTTTATTTAAATAATATACGGAAACCTACGGGTAATTCTTGTAGTACGCGATTCAAGCTGATATGACGAACGAACAACTCCAGACCTAACTGATCCTCGTTCATGTGAAACACGGGTACCTTCATAAAATATTTTACTGAATCAATTCCTTAACCAATTCTCAAATAAATAATCAAAATACTAAAATACTAAACCTTTTTGGGTTCACATGCTTGATTCGAGGATTTCGGGTCAGAATTTGACAAAACGGACTTCGGAATCAGATTCAGGATTTCGAAAAACATAAAGTATGACCTTCCGAAATTCTGAATTCTTGGTCAAAATCAAAGTCAACGGGTTTGACTGACGATTCAGATACTTTCATGTTTGAATTTTGTGAAACCGACCCCAAAAACGGATTCAGAACGTCGAAAAATGTCACGATAGGTATTATCGGAAAAGATTAACGGTTGTTTAATGGCCGGTCAAAGTTCTGGTCAACCATTTTACAGAAATAACACCCTTTTTTAAATAATTACCAAAATAGCACCCTTTTTGAATTAATTCTCAAAATAGCACCTTTTTCGAATTAAATTCCCAAAATAACACATTTTCGAATTAAATTCCTAAAATAGCACCCATTTCGAATTAATTCCCAAAAATATTACTCAGTCAACGGGTCGGGTCGGGTCAACGGGTCGGGTCTGAACCGGCCAAACCGGTCAAACCCTTTAAAAAACCGGTTAAACCGGTTATTTTAGCCTTCCCCACGTGCAGTGGGGGCGCGTGAGGACTCTTCTGGCTGCGTAAAATTCACGGAAAAATTTCTAAAAATTATTTTGAGCGATTTCGAGATACTTACAAATATCAGTTCAATTTTTTGAACGGCGGAGAGCTCGATTTCATCAAATTGGAAACTTTGACCGCTTCACCACCACACGCGCCGCCATCGCCGGAGAAAAAAGAGGACACCGGTGGACTCGGAACGGCACAAGGAACACGATGGTGCCGGAGGTGTCGGAAACGGAGCAACGATCGACGATGAATTTAAGATTTTCTCGACGATTGAGCTAAAAAAACGTCGAGGCTTTGACTAGAAATTCCCGGCGTTTGGCAGCGTTTCGCTTCAATTAATTTAAGGGACTTGTTCCTCACTCAATAACGAACATGATGGTGGTTTCAAAACGACGACCGGAATTCGAACGTCGTCGGGATCGTGGTTGGAAAATGGGCTATGGGAAGGGAATTTGGGATGAATTGGTTTCTGATTTTCAGAAACCAATTCATGCATATAATACCACATACCTAACACTTTAGGGTAAATTCATGGCTTGGTCCCTGAATTTCCTTTAACTCTAAAACAAGCTACGAATTTTTAAAATCTTTTAATTTAGTCCCCAAATTTCACCAAATTACTTAATTAAAACCTCAAATTACAAATATATTTTTTTTCAAATTTCTGGGTTGTTACAATTCTCTCCCTCTACAAGAAATTTCGTCCTCGAAATTTACCTTATGCAAATAGATGAGGAAATTGAGCCTCCATTGACTCCAATGTCTCCCAAGTAGCTTATGAGGGACTACGATTACTCCACTGAATTTTGACCATTGGAATTCGCCTATTCCGAAGAACTCATTCATCTCTCTCTAAAATCTGAACAAGCTCCTCCTCATATGACAAATCAGGCCTCAGCTCTACCTCATCAACTTGAATGATGTGATCTGGATCTGGACGGTATCGCCTCAACATAGACACATGAAAAACATCATGAATACGACTGAGCTGGGGAGACAACTCGAGCTGATAAGCAACAGGTCCAACTTTCTTCAAAATACGATACGGCCCAATAAATCGCGGACTCAGTTTACCCTTACGTCCAAATCTCAATTCCTTCTTCCATGGAGATACCTTGAGAAAAACCTGATCTCCAACCTCAAACTTGATATCCTTACGTCGCTTATCTGTGTATGATTTCTGCCTATCGAATGCCTCTTTTAAGCGATCACAGATCAATCTGACAGTATCTTCAGTCTCTTTAACCAAGTCTGGACCCAAAGTTTTTCTATCATGCAACTCTGTCCAACATATAGGAGTACGACATCTACGTCCATACAGAGCCTCGTACGGTGCCATGTGAATACTTGCCTGGTAATTATTATTGTAAGCAAACTCAGCTAATGGCAAGAAATCTTCCCAACTACCATGAAAATCAATCACACAACCCCGTAACATATCTTCCAACACCTGAATTACTCGCTCAGACTGTCCATCAGTTTGAGGATGAAAAGATGTACTGAAATTCAAACGGGTACCCAAAGCCTCATGCAAAGCCTTCCAGAATCTGGAAGTGAACCTCGGATCTCGATCATATATGATAGACAACGGAACACCATGAATTCTAACGATCTCATAAATGTACAACTTAGCCAGTTTGTCCAAAGAATAATTAATCAGGATAGGAATAAAGTGCGCTGACTTGGTGAGTCGATCAACAATCACCCAAATAGAATCCTTTTTAGAAGGAGTCAGAGGAAGACCAATAACGAATTCCATTGTAATGCGCTCCCATTTCCACTCAGAAATCTTAATTGACTGTAACAATCCAGATGGATGTTGGTGTTCTGCCTTAACCTGCTGACAAGTCAAACACCTCGCCACAAAATCTGAAATATAATTTTTCATACCAGTCCAGAAGTAGCGCTCTTTGAGATTATTGTACATTTGTCCCCGCCAGGATGCATAGCATAAGGACTACTATGAGCCTCCTGAAGAATAACTCACCTCAAATCATCATCTTTAGGAACGCAGTAACGACCGTGAAAACACAAAATATCATCCTGATCCACAGTATACTCTGAACTCGATCCTTGTTTAACTTGCTCAATAATGGAAAGCAATGAGCTATCCAGAAGTTGTTTGGTCTTAATCTCCTCGGCCAAAGTAGGCTTAACCTGCAACTCTGCTAACAGACTATTATCATCAAATAAACTCAAGTTGGCGAATAAGGCTCTGAGATCTGATATTGCCTTACGACTCAAGGCGTCTGCCACTACATTAGCCTTCCCTGGATGATATTCTATCTCTAAATCATAGTTCTTTAGAAGCTTCAACCAGCGACGCTGTCTCAAATTCAATTTTTTCTGAGTAAGTAGATACTTCAGACTCTTATGATCAATATAAATATAACACTTTTCTCCGTAGAGGTAGTGTCTCCAGATCTTTAAAGCAAAGACCACAGCAGCTAACTCCAGATCGTGAATAGGATAGTTACGCTCATGCGGCTTTAACTAACGCGACGCATAAGCGACAACCTTCCCATCTTGCATCAAAATACATCCTAATCCAGAATGAGAAGCATCACTGTAGACATAAAAATCTTTCCCAGATTCAGGCTGAATCAACACTGGAGCTTGAGTTAAAACAGTCTTCAATTTCTCAAAGCTAGCTTGTTGGTCCTCAGACCAGACAAATGGAACATCCTTCCTCAATAGTTTCGTCATAGGAGCTACAATAAAGGAGAACCCCTCAACGAAACGACGGTAGTAACTAGCTAAGCCCAAGAAACTACGGATCTCCGAGACGTTCCTGGGTTGCTTACAGTTCAGAATAGCCTCCACTTTGCTCGGATCCACCTGAATGCCATCAGAAGAAACGATATGTCCAAGAAAAGTCACTTCGCTGAGCCAAAACTCACACTTGCTCAACTTAGCATAAAGCTTATTCTCCATGAGAATCTGTAGAACAATCCTTAAATGCTTCTCATGTTCTGCTTCACTTCTAGAATACACCAGTATGTCATCAATGAATACAACTACAAACTGATCCAATTAAGGTCGAAACACCCAATGCATCAAACCCATAAAAACAGTAGGGGCATTCGTTAACCCGAATGACATCACTAAAAACTCATAGTGCCCATACCGAGTACGGAAAGCAGTCTTCGG